TTCAGAAGCTTTTTTGTGGTAATTACTCCATGATGCCCAATCTAACAAAACTAATGAAAACCTGCCTTTCAGTCTAAACTCTAATCAGTTTATAACAAGCTCTCTTTTCCTGTGCTACATTACTGTGACAAAATCTCTTTTTCATACCTCAGAATGATAAGGCAGGGTGGAAAAAAAATCATTTTCGATCACCAGGCTTGCATGAAAGGGAGATGGGTTTAAGCATGCAGAATTGATTTATTTGCATTCTTCTATTGCCTAAGTTGCTGCATCTTTGAAAGAAGTTAATATTTTTGATTTGGCCTCTCGAATGGCAGGTCCTGGCAATCAAGCATGCTTATTACAATAGATAAATAAACTAGACCAACGGATTCCCAGTTTGTATTGATTCATTTGGAAATGGGTAGACTCATAGCAAAGGTATTTTGGAAAGTTAGCTGCACATATGGCAGGCTTTGAGTGGAAAAAAAAAAAAAAGTCATTTGAAATTGTTAGCCCTCCTGACAAAGTTATCTTTATCTGCTTTTCTTAATACTTGTGAATATAACCCTAACCCCACCAACCAGTTGTTTGTAATGTTTCTTTTTTCTACTCATTATTCTACTGTTTATATTTATGTTTGTGTCCTGCTTTCCTGCAGGCTGCTTACACAGTAAGAGTCATTGGTCTCAGCTGAGTGATGACATAACCATAGGTTTCCTATCTGCTTTAACAACAGTACAAAATTTTGCTATTACTCTAATACATGACATAATTTACTATAAAAGAAGGGTGCTTACTCAAATATCTCCCAGTCTAATTTACTGGTTCAGCCCTCATCCTTAAGCAATCCACACCTCATTCAGTTTACACAATGAAAAGTAGGAGCGTGCTGGCCTCCATGACACCAGTATGATTTTGTTAATTAAATTCTGAATCTGTAAGGATGGTTAATTTTTCAAGAAAGTAATTGAAAATACGATATGCCAATATTTCTGCTGTTTGCTAATCCTGAAGAGGGACTTTGCCTTAACAATAGATTAAGAGTTTTCCACTCTCTGAACAGGGAATCTTTAGTGGAGTAAACACTGTACCATACCTTGAGTTGCCAATGATACCATGACTCCATTGTAGAGAACAGTACCTGGAGGCAAAAGACATATAAAAAAAACAGTGTCAAATGTGAAAATAGAAAACTAGATGGAATTAAAGGAATTAGAGATGTGTGCATGTCTACGGGGATATGATATAACAGGCATCACAGAAACATGGTGGGATGGCTCCTATGACTGGAGTGTTGGAATGGAAGGTTACAGGCTCTTTAGAAAAGACAGGCCTGGCAGACGGGGAGGGGGGAGTTGCCCTTTATGTTAGGGATAGGCTGGAGAGTATGGAACTCTGTCTGGGGACAGATGAGCAGTCCACAGAGAGTTTGTGGGTCAGGGTTAAAGGGAATATAGCTATGGGAGACATTACTGTGGGGATCTGTTACAGACCGCCTGATCAAGGAGAACCTGCGGATGAAGCACTCCATAGAGAGATAGGAAAAGCCTCATGCTCACAGGCCCTTGTTCTCATGGGTGGCTTCAACCACCCTGACATCTGTTGGAAGGACCGTACGGCCCAGCACAAGCAATCCAGGAGGTTCCTAAATTGTGTAGAAGACAACTTCCTTCTGCAATAGAGGAGCTGACAAGGAGAGGTGCCATGCTTGACCTCGTGCTCACCAACAGGGAAGGGCTCGTTGGAAATGTGACGCTCCAGGGCAGCCTTGGGTGCAGCAATCACGAGATGCTCGAATTTGAGATCCTCAGGACAGTGAGAAGAGCGTGCAGCCAGCTCACTGCCATGGACTTCAAAAGAGCAGACTTTGGCCTCTTCAGGAGCCTGCTTAGTAAGGTTCCATGGGATACAGCCCTAGAGGGCAGGGGGGGCCAAGACTCTTGGTTGATATTCAAGGATCACCTGCTACAAGCTCAGGAGTGTTGCATCCCACCTAGAAGGAGGTGCAACAGGAGGGCCAGGAGACCTCCTTGGATGGATAAGGAGCTCCTGAGGAAAATTCAATTGAAAAAAGAGGCTTATAATAAGTGGAAGCAAGGACAGGTGGCCTGGGAAGAGTACAGGGATGCTCTCTGGGAAGCTAGGGATCAGGTTAGGAAAGCTAAGGCTCAGTTAGAATTAAACTTGGCTAAGGATGCTAAGGATAACAGGAAGGGATTCTACAGGTACATAGCAAATAAAAAACAGACTAGGGAGAACTTAGGACCCCTCAGGAAGCTCTTGAGAAAACTGGCTACCTTGGATTTGGAGAAAGCTGAGGTTCTGAATGACTTCTTTGCCTCGGTCTTCACTGGCAATGGCTCTGACCAAACCACCCAAGTCTTGGAAGGCAGATGCAGAGACTGTGAGAATGAAGACCTTGGGCCCACTGTAGGAGAGGATCTGGTTTGAGACCATCTTAAAAATCTGAATGTGCACAAGTCCATGGGTCCTGATGAAAACCATCCGCGGGTCCTGAAGGAGCTGGCGACTGAAGTTGCTAAGCCGCTGGCCATCATATTTGAGAAATCATGGCAGTCAGGAGAAGTTCCCAATGACTGGGAAAAGGGAAATATAACCCCCATTTTCAAGAAGGGGAAAATGGATGACCTGGGGAATTACAGACCAGTCAGTCTCACCTCTGTGCCTGGCAAAATCTTGGAGCAGATTCTCCTGGAAGGCATGCTAAGGCACATGAAAATCAACAAGGTGCTTGGTGACAGCCAGCATGACTTCACTAAGGGGAAATCCTGTCTGACCAATTTGGTGCCCATCTATGATGGGGCTACAGAACTGATGGGCAGGGGTAGAGCATCTGATGTCATCTACCTGGACTTGCATAAAGCGTTCAACACAGTCTCACATGATATCCTTGTCTCTAAATTGGGGAGACATCAATTTGATGGATGGACCACTCGGTGGATAAAGAACTGGCTGGATGGCAGCACGCAAAGAGTTGTGGTCAATGGCTCAATGTCCAGCTGGAGACCAGTAACAACTGGCATCCCTCTGGGGTCAGTGTTGGGACCGGTCTTGTTCAACATCTTTGCTGGTGACATGGACAGTGGGATTGAGTGCGCCCTCAGCAAGTTTGCTGATGACACCAAGCTGTGTGGTTCGGTTGATACCCTGGAGGGAAGGAATGCCATCCAGAGGGACCTTGACACGCTTGTGAGGTGGGCTGATGCCAACCTCATGAAGTTTAACCATGCCAAGTGCAAGGTCTTACACCTGGGTCGGAGCAATCCCAGGCACAGCTACAGATTGGGCAGAGAAGAGATTCAAAGCAGCCCTGTGGAGAAGGACTTGGGTGTGCTGGTCGATGAGAAAATGAACATGGGCTGGCAGTGTGTGCTTGCAGCCCAGAAAGCCAACCGTATCCTGGGCTGCATCAAAAGGAGCGTGACCAGCAGGTTGAAGGAGGTGATCCTGCCCCTCTGTTCTGCTCTTGTGAGACCTCACCTGGAGTATTGTGGGCAGTTCTGGTGTCCTCAACATAAAAAGGACATGGAACTGTTGGAACAAGTTCAGAGGAGGGCCACGAGGATGATCAGGGGACTGGAGCACCCCCTGTATGAAGACAGGCTGAGAAAGCTGGGGCTGTTCAGCCTGGAGAAGAGAAGGCTGCATGGAGACCTCATAGCAGCCTTCCAGTATCTGAAGGGGGCCTATAGGGATGCTGGGAAGGGACTCTTCATTAGGGACTGTAGTGATAGGACAAGGGGTAACGGGTTCAAACTTAAACAGGGGAAATTTAGATTGGATATAAGGAGGAGATTCTTTCCTTTTAGGGTGGTGAGGCACTGGAATAGGTTGCCCAGGGAGGTTGTGAATGCTCCATCCCTGTCAGTGTTCAAGACCAGGTTGGACGAAGTCTTGGGCGATATGATTTAGGATAAGGTGTCCCTTCCCATGGCAGGGGGGTTGGAACTAGATGGTCTTAAGGTCCTTTCCAAGCCTAATTATTCTATGATTCTCTGATTCTAAACTAAGGCCCAGTCAAAATTGGAATCTAGCAGTTCAGTTATGCTTCGTCCCTTGATGGAGCATTAGCGGAATTACTCGGAATGAGGGCTAGATTAGTTCTGACTCTCTGAAACCCAGCTGCGGGCTTTGAGTTCACCTTTCTGTCTTCCAAGACATAAAAGATTATAAAAAACCCAACCATATATGACACACACATGTTATTTTCTTTCCAAATTTGAGACTCAGTGGATGACTTGAGTCCTTTTCCCCTTCTTTTTTAAATAAAGCAAATCTTTTCAAGTGACACAGCAGTCAAAAATGCTTTTGAATCTTTGAATAAAAGAGTGTCCATATCTTTCTGCAACTGGTTTTGCATTATATAGATACAGTGTTGGGCAGGAAGCAGCAAAGAATAGTCAGGAGATGTATCTCAGCTCAAGTAGAATATTGATCAATCAAGTAAGCAATCAAGTAAGCTGCTCTCTTGCCTCTCAGTCTAGAACTTTGATACCCAACTCGGCGTTAAAACTGCCAGCTTGTCAGTGAATTCAGATTAAATATCTGCACTTCAGGAAAAGGAGTCCATAAATTAACTTCTAATGCTGATGACATTCAGATAAAAAGAGGCTTTCATTGGCATTCATGGTTCATCACTTTTGGACTGGCAGACTTTTAAATTTCATTTGCCATCCAGCCTCACAAGCCACGATGGGATTTTGATTTCAGCATTGTAATACTTCAAAGAAATTTGCAAAACAGGCTGAGTAAGGTTACAGTTCTGAGCGGTTAGGAAAAAAGCAAACCAGCAACATGGCTTTTACTTGGCATACGTGCCTGTTAGATGTGACACCTGAGAAAGTCCATTATGTTTTTCATCATACACATTTTTTATAAAATTTGCCATGTAATTAGTGTTGAAATGGAGAAATCATAATTTTAAGATCTTTGTTCTTTCAGAGGTAATATATAAAGAATAAGAAAAGAGAACTCTATACAAAGCTGAGTGCAAATACCTGTTTGACTTTTGGCAGTCTGCCCTTCACCTTAGTCTCTTCTCTTTCCAGAATTAACTTTGAAAGTGAAGTAGAGTTATTTGTTAGAAGCCATGTAATTCTTGTTCCATTACAGGTTTTGAGTGGTCTTTTGGCAGAGAATACACAGAAATCCTGCTTCTGGTGACCATTGCAGTAGCATGACGGGAAATGGTCTGTGGTAAAAATTTAGTGTAATGTGTATGTTAATAATTTCCTACAAGTATTCCCATAATTCCTGTGAAATTTAAGAGAACAAAAGTAGTGAAATGCTTACAAAAACAAAGACAAAACTCAAAACTCTATCGTAAATAACACTAACATTTTTTCTTTAGCATTTTTAAAGCTACTTTTAAAATATAATTATAAAGAGTTATAGTCCCACTTAACATTCTACAGGCAGGTTTGGAAGTTGGATGAAAATGCTTGCCATTTTCTACTATGTTTTGGAGGACCTTTCATAAGTATTTATGTGCAATTTGAACAAGGATTCTACATCTACATACCATAGCCTGGATAAAATTTTCACTACCTCTGGAATAAAGAAAATAATCTTACCACATCCAGCAGTAAAATTCTTCAATAACTAGGTACAAGAATACGAGTCTCAAGTTTATTGCTTTGACAAGAAATAAGTCAAAAGCTTCGTAAGTGTCCAAGTATGGAAGCTGAGTTTCTGTATGTTAAGCAGTGCACAAGTGAAACAGTTTCATGGAATCTGAAAAGAGAATGTTGAAATGAAATTTCAGGTCAACCATTACTTTTCTACAGGAAGAAGGGGTTTCAGGTTCATATTTAATAAACATACATTTTTGTATTCAAGTATTTCTGCAGTAGTGAAATGTCATACAACAGTTCAATGGGAAATAATGAATGTTCATCAAGCATAAAATTAAAAATTGAGAAAATTACTAAGTCATATTTGGTAGCTATATCAGCCAGAAAGGAAGTATATCAGTGGCAAGATACACACGTCCTGTGTGCTGGTCATCTCGTGAGATGCCCAGATGTTTTAGACTAAGACATTGACCATATATTTATTTCAAGAATCACGTGAATTTCCGCCCATGCACTCAGAATAGCTTTCCCAAGTGTGGCCTTCTGAAGAGCTGGCTAGCAGTTTTGTTTGACTGGGAAAGTAAAAAAATTATAGCTGATTATTGATTTGTTTCTTTGACTTAAATGTGTACTGGAATTAGAAATTGTCTGCAAAGAGTAAAATATTACTGTCTTGTAAATATTCATGGCTCTGTTGCAGAAAGGAAATCAAATGCAAACTTTTTTCTGAACAGCTTATTGCCTGCAAGACTTTTTATTCGAAGAGCAGTTACACTGTTCCCTGTTTCCTCTATATTCATAATTGTAGTTCCTAATTACTTGGGGTCATGATGTATCTTCCATCTTCCAAAGGTCAAAGATAATAATTCTCTTCATGAATAATTTATTCAACAATTGATTAGGTAATGAGTGAAATAGCTGAATACATTTTTCACTGGAAAATATTAGACTATATAGGGATATAGTCATGAAATAAAAAAATGTTTGAAAAATAGCCACAGCAAATAATTCAATCAGCCATAAGACTCAATATTTTATTTTTCTACATGAAGTTCATCCATAACGTATACTTCACATTTTTAAAATTAATAGTAAGAAATTATTGTTTAACTTTACTTGCATACATAATTCTTGGGTAAATGAACAGTTTTTATAAATACCTATCCTTTTTATATTTTCTCTTTATTATTGAAGGTTTATTTGTAATGGAAGGCCTCTTAACTCTGTCAAAGATTGTCACCTTTTTGTGCAAGATACCGTATAGGAGCATGACCAGCAGGTTGAAGGAGGTGATCCTGCCCCTCTACTCTGCCCTCGTGAGACCTCACCTGGAGTATTGTGTGCAGTTCTGGTGTCCTCAACATAAAAAGGACATGGAACTGCTGGAACAAGTCTAGAGAAGGGCCACGAGGATGATCAGGGGACTGGAGCACATCCCGTATGAAGACAGGCTGAGGAAGTTGGGGCTGTTCAGCCTGGAGAAGAGAAGGCTGCATGGAGACCTCATAGCAGCCTTCCGGTATCTGAAGGGGGGCTATAGGGATGCTGGGGAGGGACTCTTCATTAGAGACTGTAGTGACAGGACAAGGGGTAACGGGTTCAAACTTAAACAGGGGAAGTTTAGATTGGATATAAGGAGGAGATTCTTTCCTGTTAGGGTGGTGAGGCACTGGAATAGGTTGCCCAGGGAGGTTGTGAATGCTCCATCCCTGTCAGTGTTCAAGACCAGGTTGGACGAGGTCTTGGGTGATATGATTTAGTGTAAGGTGTTCCTGCCCACGGCAGGGGGGTTGGAACTAGATGATCTTAAGGTCCTTTCCAAGCCTAATTATTCTCTGATTCTCTGATTCTATACAAATCTGATGAAAGGCAGCTCTTGTTCAGATGACCTCTATTTAAATAAACGATATTAGTAATGAACAGCAGAGGCGTAGGGATCTTCAATTACCTGCCTGAATGATAGATTCTGTAGCAGAAACCATGAATTCTTCTTTCTTGTTTATTGCTTAACTCCAACTGACTATGCAGTGCCAATTACTTAAACATTTACAGAAGATTATAGTTAACTCAACCTGATCAGACTTTTTTGTTTTTAATTTACAATTTTTCAATTAAGTATTCTCAAACTTTCAATAAGGTTTATTCAAAGGCATTTAGATTTCTGTAAAATTCCTATTGAACCAAAAAGTTCTTAATTTCCCATCAGTATCTTGGTTTGTGAAGTCTGTGAAGGATACTCAGTTAACTGAAAGAAGTAGAAGCATTTGACAGTGACCGGATATCAGAATCATTTGTTTAGCACTGCAAGATATAGTCATGCTCCTTTGCACTTGCTGAATTTCTCTAACAAGAAGGAGCAGAGCCTGAAACAATGAGGATCTTCCACTCATATTATGACACTACAGATTGTTATACTCTTTCTAGACTCAAATGTAAATATTTTACAGGGGCAATCTATGCCTGATGACTGCTGTTACTGAATGCAGGCAAAAGAGCTGGTACAGAACAATTGTAGTCTCCTAAAGATGATCATACCCAGAAGAAGAAATGAACTCTGGATATTTTACTGATGAGTTCTTTATTGGTTAACCTTAAAAATAAATTATAGACAGTGAACTTTGAGGAAAACTAAGGTTGAAAATTCTTTAGTTGGAAATGGAATTTCATGCTTATCTGTGTTTCTACAGTTTCCTGCTGGAATGTCATGTGTATATGTGCAGCTAATATTTTTTTGTTTTTAAACTGAGTATAAACCTGAATGATCTTCTTCAAATTGAAATGTGAACATAAAAACCAGTCCATTTGCTTCCCAAACAAAACATTTTAATTTCTTTTAGTTCTTTATGTGCTCAGTAAATAAAGTATTTGTCTCAAATATTCATGTACCTTTCACTCTGCTTAGGCACGGTTCTCTACCAGTGTTCTAGTTTTGTACTGTTTCACAATTTCTACAAATACTATTCTTTATGTTCTGTTTTCCTCTTTGTGTCATGACCATAATACTTTAAAATATGTTCTTATGTGATTTTATTTATGTTCCTGGCAGAATCTCATTGAAATCATCCTTACATTCCATAGTTATGTATTATACCAGTTTAACTCTTAAAATACCCTGCAGCTGTGATGGACATCTTACCCCTGTCTTCCAGCAGTCTATTAGGTTGTTTTAGTCAACTTATGTTCACAGTCTGAGGTTCTTTTCTAGTTGTAAAAGAGGAATAAATTTATTTTCCTTCTGCCACAGGATATTTGAAAATCTACTGAAGAAAGATAAGAGAAAATACTGAAGAAAGGGAAGAAAGCTCTCCACACATCCATCTTCCCTGTATATTAATCATGCATTTATTTTCATCCTAAACCAGAGCTAAAATAAAAATTTGAGTTTCTATAGGGGAAAAACTTAATTCTGAAAAGCATTAATGTAAGGCTTTTATGAAATCCATATCTGTGCTCTGTTTCAAGAGCTGACAAAAAGAAAAAGGTTAAATAGGTAACATTAAAAAGAGTCTAAAGCAATAATATACTTTATTGGAAAGAAAATAATGAAAGGTTGTGGAGAAAACAGCTTCTAATAAATATTATGTGTTTGCTAATTATTCTGATAATTATTAAGATGGTTAACTGGTTGTAATTTTGAGTTTCATCATAATTCTGTTAAATGACTGTGAAAATATTGGTTTTACTTTTGTCTTATTTTTTGTGATTTTTTGAGATCATAATTCCAGAAGAAACTTCCAAAACATGACTATGTGTATCCCCATGGCCAGCAGAGCAGACTCTGCGGTTTTTTGTCTTGTTATTTTTGGAAAATTTGGCCTTCCTTGTACTTGCAATGGAGTTTTAAAAAAATAATAAAAAATCACAAATATTTCTGCAGCAATGAAATTGTTTGACCTTATGTATAAGAGCGTTTTTGACACCATAATTTGTAATAATATTACTGCTTAGCTCAGCATATTTGCTGTGCTTTGAGATTGCACTATAAATAAAATTTTTTGACTCCATAATGAAGCACAGTAAATTATATGATAAAACAGTTACAATAAAGACCTGATAGGGTGTTTTGGGGGACAGGGAGGTTTAAGTAATTCTTCCTTTTCCCAAATATGTGCAATAGTTAAATAGGCTGATAAATCCATATGCTGTTGAGGTAGTTTTGGCTTAATTTACTAGTGGCACAGGAATTTAGACAATTTAATTTAACACTGAATCAAATTCAGTGTTTTAACAGTTTGAGGCATTGTAACATAAAAATCAACTTCAAGATTTCTTCTTTTCCTTAAATTTAACTGGACGATATATAGAAATTTCTTAGTAGAATCTAGAAAAGTAAGAATAACATCACTGAGTAAGAATAGGGAGAGTGTCTATTCTTATTAGAGCCATGCCTCTAATGTTTAGGTTTCATACTTCTTGACATATTTTTGAAAGGCTGAAGTTACATTGCATTTAGAGAAAAATACTACAAGCATTTTCTAGTCTCTGTTCTCTTGAAAAGTTTTTGCCATTCTACAGGAACAATCAGGCTGTGAACACAAACAGAAAGTTGAATTTTACTTGGAGACTGCAGGGAACGGCATTGTGCCATAACCAGCAGTATTAACGCAAAAGTTGAAGCCACAGGCTGCAGTATGAGTGGCGTATGGGGTTTAGTGTTATGATCTTATCTTCATTAGCCAAATTTGTCTCTAAAGTACATGAGTAAAAAACATGTGGAAGTAGATGCAGTTTGTGACATTTCCAGAGGAGGAAAAAATTATTAGGTTAAAATAATTTGACTTGAAGAGTTGCAGGTGGGAGTAAAATTATATCTAGAGAATGTTTGGGAGTGTTTTCTTGAGTGTCCTGGGTTCAGCAGTAGCAGTCATTTTTCTCCTTCTTGGTAGCTGGTGTAGTGCAGTGTTTTGAATTTCAGCTCGGGAACAGAGCTGATAACAAGGATGTTTTGGTTTGGCCAAGGACTTTGTGAGCCTCATGCTCTGCCAGGGAGGAGGGGAAGCCGGGAGAAAGCAGAGACAGGACACCTGACCCAAACTGACCAAAGAGGTATTCCATACCACAGCACGTCATGCCCAGGATGTAACTGGGAGTTAGCCGGAAGGGCTGGGAGACTGCAGGGTTGGAGGAGGTATCTGTTGGAGCTTG